TACCCAGATGTTTATTTTATGGTATATCTGAAACTGTTTTGAATTGCTCATTGCACGGATTTTGTGACGCATCCATGAATGCCTATGGTGCCGTCATTTATCTCAGAATAGTCACTTCTACGAATGCCCATCTCGATGTGATGCCTGACTTAACCACAGATACTTTCTTAAGATGTTTCAAACGATTTGTGGCGCGATTCGGTTATCCAGTACAAATCATATCGGACAATGCAAAGACATTTGTATCGGCCTCTGAATACCTTAGATTATTCTCAGGTAACTCTCCTGTAAGACATTATTGTGGAAACATCGTATAGACTGGTCATTCAATTTGGAAAAAGCACCCTGGTGGGGTGGCATCTTTGAAAGACTCATTAAATCAACAAAACGGTGTTAAAAGAAAACCATCGGAAATGCCAAGTTATCCTATGATGAACTCCTAACCGTAGTAGTTGAAATAGAGACAATTCTAAATTGTAGACCCCTTTCATATGTGTCATCCGAAGACTGCGAGGAACCATTAACTCCATCTCATTTGTTGTATGGACGTCGTTTGTTAGGCCTTCCAGATAGTGAACGTTCAGATTTCAATGAAGATTATAACCCAGAGCGCCCTAGCAATTTGAGAAAGAGACATTTTCATATGAACATTGTGTTGCGTCATTTTTGGTCTCGGTGGAAGGTAGAATATCTCTTGGAATTGCGTAATAGTCACAGAACAAGCTCGAGTCAAACTTCAAACACCATCTCAATTGGAGATATCGTCATTGTCAATGATGAACACCAACCACGTAGTTTGTGGAAGCTAGGCAAAGTCGAGAAACTGATTACTGGAACCGATGGATTGTCGAGAGGTGCGGTTGTAAGAGTTAGCGGTCATGGAAAGTCATTTACTCTTCGTCGTCCTATCCAACTATTATATCCATTAGAAGTCAATCATCAATCAAACACGGTAGAGGATCTTGAAAGGCCACGTCCAATTGAACCACAAGCAATTGTGCCAGATCCAGTGGAACCTATGCCAGGTCAACGTCCACGTCATTTGGCAGCAATCCAATCTGATGCTAAGCGAAAGGAATGGATAAACCGATTAACCAATTGTGATGGACAATTTGACAGTCATTGATTTATCGATCCTCTATCAGTTGAATATAGTAATCTAGCTCATTCTATACCTATAAGTGTTTATTGTGATATCCATTTTCATGTAGGACATTCGAATGGCTATCAGGGGAGTGTGAGAGAGACTTATCAACCAAGACTATAATTATTCCCCTTTTACGAACTCTATAGTTATGAAGATAGATTCTTTCTGTTGTTTTATGTATGACGTTGTAAATTCCATTCGAAGAAATCCATAATAAATCCATAATATCCATTTATACAGTCTTCTTACAATGAACCATCGCATCAGGTGCTACTGGCATATGTAGTAACCGCCATAGGAGGTCAAAATATCCTACAAGGTACAAGGTTAGATCTGCGATTAGACCAAAATGATAAACCAAAACCAGGTGAAGAACCAGTCAATAGAGTTGACACAGCTGCACTTAAACACGACATACTATACAGAAATAAAGACAGAACATCCGGACACGAATCAGACAAACAAATGATAATCGAACTTGAAAATATTCCAAATCCAACTTTTAAAGAGAGAATTCAAAGGGCTCTGATCATAAAACTGTTAAAAGCAAAGATGAAATTGGGTATGGGATTGGCGGATGAAATTCATAAAGAATTTAGAAAAAAGAAACATTTTTTAAAAGTCAAAGTGTTTGATGAAATATGGTCATAATGGCGAATAAATTTGGATTAGGTTCTTTACCTTTAGATACTAAAAAACCTAACACAACAGCATGGATAAATAAAGCAAAACCTTAATTTGTGGATCAAATTGGAGACAAACTTCAAGGTGATTTAGATATGAATAATTTTACCATAACTAATTTAAAGTTACCAGAAAATGATTATGATGCTGTTCACAAGAAATATTTAATGGATCAATTAAATTTGATTAAAGTAAATAAAGAACATTTAAAAGAAAGAACAGGCGATGTGAAAGGTACTTCAAACGACAAATAAATAATAAATATTTTATTGATGATAATAAGTTACAACAAGAAGTAACAAGTTTGAAAAGTTTTATTGAAGAACAATGACTTAATGTAGTAGATAAAACTCAATTACAACCTTTAAGTTCATTAATATCTAATTGAGATGATAAGATTACAAAACAAAAAATAGATCTTAAACAACTAATAGCCAATATTAATCCAGGTATAAGTGAAGATAAATTAACAACATTAGAAACTAAACTTATTGATAATAGTGAAATACAAAAACAAATAGTTGGTATTAAACAACAATTACTTAATGTAGTAGATAAAACTCAATTAGAACATTTAAAATTATTAATATCTAAATTATATGATAAGATAACAAAACAAAAAATAGACCTTAATAGATAATGTTAAACCAGGTATAAGTGAAGAAAAATTAACTGAATTAGAAACCAAACTCAATGATAATAGTGAAATAGTCGCCATTCAACAACAATTACTCAATTTAGTAGATAAAACTCAATTAGAAAATTTAAAATCATTAATATCTAAATTAGATGATAAGATAACAAAACAAAAAATAGATCTTAAACAGCTAATAGATAATATTATTCCAGGTATGAATGAAGATGAATTAGCCG